GTGATGTTAGTGATGAATCCAGGAATTTTTGGCGGGAGAGTATTGTGGAAATATGATTGTATTTTTTGCCACATTTGCATCACACAAAAAAACTCAATTTAGGACTTTCAGATTCTTATGAGGGGGAGGGCAGATGCATACTAAAGTGTACTATAAACGATTTTTCCGCCCCCCCCTACTTTCCCCCAAGATACCTCTCAACGTTTTCCCATTGTTTGAAGTTCACTGAGACTAAAAAGCAAAATAAATTTTATTTATTTTTTAATAAAGGTAATAACGATGCTTAGGTTGAATAAAATTATTATTAGTCTGATTGTTTTTATAAGCATAGTTTTAAAATATGCTTATTCAAAATGTTGAATAAACAGTATCAAAAATATACTTCGCGGTGGGAAATCGGCTAGTGAATAGCTAGCTATAATCGTTACGATAAAGACAGCGATTTGGCCACGAGGATAGCTAGCTTTTTTAAGTTAGCGAAAAGCTATCGATATTTCTAAAAAGAAAGACAACAATTTGGCTATGAGGACAGCTAGCTTAATAAGCTAAAGACTCACAGGCTATTGTAGCTACCGTCATATCATAATAATATCGCAATCAAAAAAATTTTGGTATGTAGCCATCAACTAGCTATAGATTTGTAGATATTTTGTAGCTAGCTACAAAGCTACGATATGTAGCTAGCGACACATTGCTACAAAATTGCAATGTTTAAAGTTCAATTATTCTCATAACTATAATAGTCTCAACACTTAAAATCGAACTTTTAAAGATGATAGAGACATTAGTTAAGAATAAAATAAGAAAATAAAATCGCTTGAAAATCGCTATAAAGCTAGCTAGTCGCTAGTTCATTTCTCACCGGGTTAAGTTTACGAAAACGTATGTTTTTATGTAAAAAAGTCAAAAGATACTTTTAAGCATTCCTGTTTACACGAAGACACATCACATTTTTTTAAAAAAAAGTTTTAAATGCAAACAAAAGAAAAAAATACCAATGTACGATAGTCTTCTAGATGGTTAAAAACAATAATCCAATACCAAATAATTAAATTTTATCTTTTTTATTGACCATTGACTACTTGGCATGTTACGTTTTTTACTATTGTTCAATCTTACTCTAAATATGCATTTTTTTGAGCACAATTGAGTACATGTACTAATAGAATTGTGCTCAAAAAAATTAAAAAGATAACTTTAATAATTCGGTTTTGGTTTTTTAGATTTCTAACTTACTCATGTATGTTATTTAATTTATGATTTCATAGTATTTTGTAATTTGAGCCGTTCTCGCACAAAATATACAAAAAAGAGAAAAGAGAAAGATACAGACCATTCCAGTACGCTACTGTTTACTTTTAAATATCATATCAACCAGTTACCTATAAACCAGCTTCCCAGCATTGGAAATATTCTTAAATACTTACGCTTTATTAAATCTTTTAGGTCTTTGAAATTTAAATCTAATGAGCGAATTGTAGCTTGTTCTCAAACGTTTCCAGGCAAAGATCTTATCTGCAAGGATGGATTATATAGAAACCTCAACCATAGATGTGTTACTGCTTTTGTAATGGTTGTATAGAACAAAGCTGATTTCGGAGAGTTTATCATTTCTGGAACTGCTCTCAGGTAAGAAATAATGCAATTTTTAATTTAATATAAATAAAATATAAGTAAATCAACAAACATTAATATTATTATCATAATTTATAAAAGTAATTATGTAACTTAATATATTAATTTTTATATACTTAAGGGATAAAATTTTGAAACTCCATACCAAGTATTGCAATCTAATCCATTTAAGAGAACTAAACTAGGATTCCAGAACTGGTTAATTTACTCAGATCCAGAGAGAGTTTATTCACGAGAGCACAAAACTCTTTGATATATCTGTAGCGAGGTTTGAAAAAAAATCCAATCAGATCAACTTTGTACCCAGGATGCAAAGGCAAGAGACATTCATACACCAGAAAGAAGATCAAAAAATGTATACAATTACATAAATAGACAAAGAATTTGAAGCATCTATTAAAAGTAGACAGGATTGTTGGCAGAGAATGAAGAATATGAAGATTACAACAGCGGAAAAAGATAAAAAGAAAAGAGTTACTAATGACGTTTCATATGATTCTGCTATCAACTCATCTGCATCTGAGCAAGTGTTGCCTTAGAGTTTTTCAAAGGCACTGACCACAAAGACATTTAAAAGAGGCAACTACAAGAAGCTCTGTGAACTAGTTGCATTCTATTTAGGAGGAGATGTACCGGGGTTTCTGTTTTATTAACCTGAAGCCTCCCAGGAAGCCAGGTATGATTAAAGTATATTATCAATAATTTAAATTTTTAGAAGAGAGTACATTTTTAATATTTTTTTATATAATTAATATTAATAATTTATTATAAGGATTCATAGCAAATTTTTTATACCTGCTGACACTGAGAATGACTGAGAAGGTAGCCCAGTTGATGAACAAGGAAGAGAAGAAGATGGTAACTGCAACATTCTTTGTTTCTATATGTTATCAATTCTGGTTCTTAAAATCATATATGGTTGACAAGTCACCTCTAAATGACCTAGCTGTCTTCAAGTCATCGTTTTAAATAAGGGATTACTATCCAAAACTTGGGGAGGCTCTTCTCGTCAGCATGATGCGGCACGCTTGGTAATTAACAGTTAGTTGTACTGGTTTTAGCTGACTATGATGTTGACGAGAAGATAAAGAAAAAATTAAAAAAGTTAATTAAGTGTGATATACCGAAGCAGTTTCATATGGCAAAACCAAAGATACCAGTTATCGACAGGTCAACTGAGCTATTTGAGCTGGTGGTTTCCCAAAGTCTGATCTTGTTTATGGTAGCAGATATTCCTTTTGGAGAGACGAAGAAGTGGCTCAAGGGAGATGCCAATAAAATATTTGAACTATTTAAAAGGTTTTCAAAATCGATTGAATGTGTTAATGGCTGCGCTGAAAGAAATATCTGACTAATTTAGGATTTTACTGGAGGATACAGGTCGGATGGCATGAAACTTTATGCACGTTGCCAGAGACAACAGAAAAAAATTAAATAAAGAACTAACAAAGAAGCAACTCATAAACGATTAATTTTTGAAGTTAAAATATATTTTTTTAAGAGAGTTACTAAAATACAAGGTTTTTGTGTAAAAATTACTTTTTTTTTTGAAAAATGAAATTTTAAAGCCATCACTTTTACAAAAGCAAAAAAAAAATTTTTCTTTTTTTTCCGCCTATTTAGACTTACAAGAATAAAAAAACTTTGAGAGGTATTTTTTTTTGGTACGCCCTATTGCATATCCCATCCCTCCCTGGATCCGTCACTGAATGATAAGTTAAATTTGAAACATTTTATTTAAAAAAATAAAATTTATTTATTTAATACATATTATTTGCAGCCTTCCATTGCAAAATCGCAGCATGGAGTGAATCTATAATACTGCTTGCTAACCCCCAACAGTTTAGAAAGAAGGGAATATTTAAAAACTGAAAAGACACCTTTTTTTAAAATGAAGAATTAAAAAAGATTTTCTAGAATTTTTTTAAAATGCAACTAAGAAAAAAGGTTTTTTGGTCAGGTGGCGCAACTAGTTATAAAAATGCTGCTTGCAAACATTTTTAATAACCTATTTTTAATTTGTAGAATTTAATTTTAAACTTATCAGTATGCTTAAGTTGTTGAATATGTAAATCTAGTAAAGAAAAAAGCACAAAAAAGAGGGAAACACTAAAAAAACAACAGCAAGTTGAGCAAAATTAAAATTTCTCTAATAGTTGTTTAAGTAAATGTCAAAAATACAGAATGCTGACCCAATAAACACAAGACATGTTTAAAATGACAAAAATACGTCTATCAGTGTGTCAAAACGTTTTTTAGAAGTTTTAAACACATTTGGTTTTTACTTAGGAGTGCTTTTTTAATAATATTTTGTTAATAATATCTTTGTTTTATTTTGGTACTTAGAGTATTCTAATAATTCTTTTTTTATAATTACGATTATTTTAACTTTTTCGTATCTTTTTTATTTTTGTTTTTACTAATAAATCTAAATAAAACGGAAACCATGGTGATAAAATTATGAAATTATACTGGTAATTATAACTGCTTTGCATTAAATTTAAAAACAGCATACTTTATAGTAAAAACATATTTTATCATGAGTACTATGATAATCATTTGAAAAAAGTCAAATATTGCTAAACTAAAAAATTATAATAGATTTGTTTTAATGTTTTTAATAAAGTTATAGCTTATTGAGATGATAAAAAAATTAAGACATTATTTTGTTCTTTAAATTAAACGTCAATAACAAAACTTGTAATTTAAAAAAAATACTTATGCTGTATTGAGTAAATTCCAAATTCACGGAGTCTTAATCCATTCGCTCTTAATGTAGGGTCAATGTTGTTTAACATATAACAAATAAACTCCGACTTATTCGGTTTATCAAAAAATCTGAATTATCTTCATGAAATAAAGTATTCGAATAGAAACATACAAGTCTTATAAAAAAAAATCAGTTTAACTAAAATGCTTTTAAATTTGTTAACCTATCTACTTAATATCCTATCTTTTTAATAATAGATTGACGCATCAGCGCATCAGTTTGATTAATCAATAAAACAGTAAAATTAAGTACCATATCTGTATTTACTTTGAACAGTGTTTTTATAAAACCGTCTAAATATTTTGAAATTTAAAATTGCTGGAACAAAGTTTTTTTTAGGTTTAGCCTAAAAATGGTATAGATCTAGTTGTATTTTAAAACCACTATAAAAACATAGTGGCATTTTTAATTGAAACAGTAACAACCTTTAGAAACCATAACCAAGTATAATTGTAAAAAATATAAATTTCACTCCACCCTACTGCAAGTTTAATCCTATTAGAATAACGCATTGTTGTTAGTCTAACTGCACACTAAGTGTTACTTGTATACGATATTGCTGCTTTAAAAACACCGATGCATCAAAACACATAAATTGTTTTCTTATTTAATATTATAACTGTAATAAAATAATATAAACCACAATCACAACAATGGTATGAAAATAAATGGTTTACAATAAAACAAATAATTTTTATGTTGCTTTATTTTATATTTTATGAGTAATTTAAGTTATAAAATAAATTATAAATATTAGTTGTATTAAGTTGTAATAAGCGTAATGTCTTCAGCGATTTAAGCTACGGTGTTAAATAGTAATTTCTTCATCGTCTCCAGTTGGCTCCTCCTCATCAGGGTGACTTTCATAGAAATGTTCCGTAGGACTGCTTTTGAATGAAATAATTGTCTTGTACAATATACTTTCTTTAATACACATTTTGATTTGTTAGCGTTAGTAAAGTTCCCAAAATTCTATAATAATTAATATTAAATTAATAAATTAAAAATAAAATTTAATTATTTTGTATAAAAAAATTGTAGCAGGTTCGATTAGTCATACTTCTAAAATAAAAATCTCGTTATAAATTGAAACACTCTGTTTTTATTTTTTTTAAATGTAGAAAATTTCTTACCTTACAGCTTAACTTTTAACTTAAGTTTTATGGAATACAACTTTTATTTAATTTTAAAAATTAAAAAACTCTCTTTATATACAAAATTTTAACCTATAGTATTTATTTTTAGAAGTATTGAACTGTTAAAAACAAAATCATACATTTTGTACTCTATACTTTTTTTAATTTAGAGAAGTTCGTACAATAAGCAGAAATTCCTTCATTTATTTTTGATAACTTATTTATGGAACAATTTCTATTTTAGTCTAGTTATAAATATTGCAACTAGTTTTATATATTTTATACATCCGCATTATTTAAAAAATGTATTTAATAAATTTACTAATAGTAGAAATTTTTTATTGTTTTAATATAAAGGATTTATTAACTGTCGTAAGAATATATATATATATATATATATATATATATATATTATATATATATATATATATATATATTATATATATATATATATATATATATATATATATATATATATATATATATATAATATAATATATATATACATATATATATATATATATATATATATTTATATATATATATATATATATTATATATATATATATATTCATATATATATATATATATATATATATATATATATATATATATATATATATATATATATATACATATATATATATATACATATATATATATATATATATATATATATATATATATATATATATATATATATATATATATATATATATATATATATATATATATATATATATATATATATATATATATATATATATATATATATCTATATATATAATATATATATATATATATATAATATATATATATATATAATATATATATATATATATATATATATATATATATAATGAAAAATGTATTTCAAGCAATATAACAACTTCAAAAAAAGTCTTTATTTCTGAAAAGATTTGTAACAAAATTTTAAGTTTAAGTGATTATGCAAAAAAAAATAAAAATAAAAAAAATATATATATATATTTTATATATATATATATATATATATATATATATATATATATATATATATATATATATATATATATATATATATATATATATATATATATATATATATATATGATATATGAATATATATATATATATATATATATATATAAACATGCAATATAATTTCGAAATATTTAAAAAAATTTCAAGTATTAAAATTACAGTTTTGATGTCATAGCTTTACAAAGACATGACATGACTCTGTTAGAGCGATGACAACTTTTATTGAATCCAATTTAAATTTTAACCTACCAAATTACCGCATAATTAGTCAAACGCAAAAAAAGCCGGAAGACTTGTTTTTACATTTTAGAGAATCATTTATTTAACAATATAAAGCGATTATGCTTAACCCAAAATGATCATGAATGTTTAACAAAAGAGACCATTAGTGAAAAAGTTAAAAAAATTGTCATTAAATGCGTATACCGGCCTCCAAGTAGTACTGTAAAAATGTTTCAAGTTATTATTTGAAATATAATAGTTAACAATAAAGAAAAAATTGTGCATTATCGGCGATACAAATTTGAATTTCTCAACTTACAAAAAAAGTTATAAAACGAAATCTTTATATGATACGCTATTTAGCTATAATATATGTCTACTTATTAATAAGTTAACTCGGGTAACTATAAGTTCAACAACTGTGATAGACAATAATTTTTTAATTCACATAAACACCGTTTCAAACAGGATTTTTTTATCACTTTCTCATCTACTTTAAAGTTAATAACCTTAAAATAACTACAACTATTACTTCGAAGATAATTAACTTAAAAAAACGCAATCTATCAACGTTAAATACTAATAACTTCTCGCAAAAACTATATGAAGAGAAATAGAAAAAGGTCTATGAATGTCATAATATAAATCATGCATGTAATGCCTTTTTGATAAGTTTTTAAATATAGATAATGAAACATTTTCATATGAAATAATTAAAACGAAAACAAAAACAATTGCTAACCATCAAATAAACAAAACTCTGGTAAATGTTTGAAAACAAAAGCTCTATAACATATTTCTAAAAATAGGAGTATTGAAAACGAAAAAACAAAAAATATAAATACTTTTATTAATGCTTTCTCAAAAAGGCAAAAAAACCAATTTTTATAACAAAAATAACTATGAAATGTAAATAACAATTTAATGGGTCGTAATAAAAGTAGTTTATTACATACTTTCAATATTACTATTAAAAATGTTAATATTGTCCTATGCGAATCTTTAAAGAGTTTAACATTTACTATACTAACCTTGGTCTTAATATAGCTCGTAAAATCGTACCTCGAATTAATTCATTTAAAATCTATTTAAATTCAACTTATAACACAATGTAACAAAAAAAAAAAAAATTCTGTTTATCAAAATTTTTTGATGTTTCTTAATTAATTTGAGTATGCTGAGTCTGAATATGACATTGGATTTTTTATTGCATCAATCGTTTGGTCGTAAAACCAAAAAATCAATTAAACATATAACTAATATAAATCGTTTTGCATTAGATTCTACTTTAGTCAATATAAAACATTTATTAATTCAAAAGTGTTATGTTATGTTACAAAACTTCATGTTACATCATGTTTCTTACATATATTACATAATGTTACATTATATTGTATTGTAACAGTCTCTCACAATCTCAAAAAACACTAAAAGTGAACAGTAGAACGAGGTTTTCTTTTATGAAGTTTCTCGTCATCGCGTATCAAACACCAGATGTAGTCACCCATCATAGCTGCATCCCATCTGCCCTGGTATCTTTTTCTCCATTGCAAGAATATCCTGATGGAAACGTTCCCCGTGCTCTTCACTCACATCACCCAAATTTGGTCTGAAAAATTCCAAGTGTGAATGCAGGTAATGCAGCTTTATTGACATTCTGCATTTCATATCTGCGTACCGTACAATTAAGTTTTCCACTATCTCTTTGTAGTTATCGCTCTTATTGTTGCCTAAAAAGCTATGAACAACATGTCTAAATGCAGTCCATGCTTCTTTTTCAACAGCAGACATTTTGTCCTCAAGCTCCTTACATGCCTTCATAACTTTAATCTGTGGACCAACGAATATACCTGCTGAAATTTTTGCATCTGACACCTTTGGAAACATCTGCCGAATATGCTGGAATGCTGCACTATCTGGGTTTAATGCTTTGACAAATTGTTTGATAAGACCAAGTTTAATGTGAAGGGGTGGTAGTAAGATCTTTTCTATGGTATCAGACATTGATTAATAATATTGTGCGAACCAGGCTGTAAATGTTCTCTCACTGGCCACTCACGTCTTGTGAAGTGCTGGTTTGCAGCCCTGCTATCCCATAAACAAAGAAAACACGAGTACTTTGTGTATCCTCCTTGCAGACCGAGAAGAAATGCTAGCATCTTAAAGTCTCCACATACATCCCACTTGTAACTGTCGTAGTTGATTTTCTCAAGCAACAACTTCACGTTCTTATAGTCTTCCTTTAGATGAACGGAATGAGCTACTGGAATCGAAGGAAATCGGTTTCCGTTATGGAGCAAAACTGCCTTTAGACTTCTTGTTGAGCTGTCAATGAATAATCTCCACTCTTCAGGATTGTGAACAATGCCAATGTCATTGAAAAGACCACGAACGTCATGACAATAGCACAGTGATTCTGATACTACATAAAAGTATGCGAATGTTTCATGTCTTTTTCGGTATTTCGAGGTTCTGCAGCTTGGATCTAATAAATTCCATTCTTTCAAACGTGATGTCAGAAGTTCTGCATTTGATTTAGTGACACCTAAATCTTGTACTAAGTCATCAAGTTCTTGTTGGTTAAGGAAATGAGGTGAGCCAATCGGTTCCCTGAAATCACAGTCATCATTGAGTTCATCCGGTGAGTCTAACTTCAGAATGATATGCAGCTGCTTCTTCGGATTGAGGTGGAGTAGGAACAGGCAATTCATCACTGTGTGGAACTGGTCCAATAGAAGATGGTATACTTGTATAAACTAGAGTCAGCCTATCTTTCTGTTTTTTATACTTTGAAATGTCAACAATGCAGAAAAAGCAGTCATCATGATGGTTCGTCGGTTCTCTCCATATTCTCGGAATCGCAAAAGGCATTGACTTTCGGATTCCACGCAGCCATCCTTCCAGAGTTGATCTGCAGCTACCACAACTGTAGTGTGGTGCCCACGATTTGTCCTGATCTCCCATAGCCATGCCAAAATAAGCGTGATATGCAGTAAAGAATTTTGTACCACTGACAATCTTATGTTTAGCTTGTGTTGGACTAATGTAGTAACCACAGACATAACAGAACGAGTCAGGACAAAGCTTGATCTACTAGACATATTCACTACTTCATGTAACAGTTGTAATTAGTTAAACTGAAAATAAACACACGAATATAGTTAAAATCAGCATATATATATAATGTTTTAATTGCATTACACATATACGAAAACTCCGAAATATACTTTATGCTTTTTCTCAAGAAATCTTGATGATAGAGAAAAACCAATGGTACCACTGAAATCAGCATACAAAAATTATGTAAGAAACATTAAAAAATTAACATAAACAAAAATGTTGTTACATGGTGTAATAATTTAACCATTTGACAGCGAACTTATAATAAAAGAAATTAAAGATGAGAAAGATGAGAATGATGAGAAAGCATCTTTAAAGATCTTTTAAAGGTTTTTGATGGAATATTAGCTAATATAGAAGTTTCAAACAAAAAAAATATTATCAAACCTTTGTTTTATATTCTTAAACATTCAATAAATAAAGGCATATTTCCTAATATATTAAAAATAGCTTAAATTTACCCAATATAGAAAGACATTGATAGTTCCGATATTTCAAATTATAGACAGATATCTGTATTATCCGTTTTCTCAAAAATATTAAAACGCGTCTTGCATAATAGAATTTATGATCGTTTTGCAAAAAACAAGCTCTTTTATCCCAAACAGTTTGGTTTGCAGAAAAATACTTCAACTGAACATGCAATTATTGAGTTAGTTGACGAAATAACTAACGGGTTTAAAAAAATCA